CCTGTGTTTGTTGTGCCGAGGAGGCCCCGCCGCCGCCGCCGCGCTCTCCGCCTTGCGCCCGGCGATTGGCTGACAGGCATCACGTGGGCGCGATCAGCTGGGCCGGCTGCGGGCGGTCGGCCTGGCGGGGACCCCAAAGCTGGCTGGTGAGCCCACCTAGCGGCTCCTCCCTGCTGGCGGAGGTAGGCACACGCCTGCGCATCCCTTGGTTTCACGCTGCTGGGCAGGTAGGTAGAACGACGGAGTATTGCCAGCGGGAGTGGGACGCCACAGTAGTACAAAGGTCTGGTTAATCTCCCTTTGGAGTGGCAGTCAGGGAAGGTGTGCAGCTCATTTATTTTTAAACTTTTTTTCTGTTTACAGAGCCCTGTTGGAAAACTGAGGATTTTTATTTCAGGTGTCCTCTGACAGATGGAAAAATCTCGAAGTAACCACAGTCTTAACCTTGCTTTTGGAAAATAAGTGAACTTGCTGGTGAAGTAGCAGGCATCATAGAAAGCCCGTCAGACAGTTTTGCAAGCCACACCGGCAGGGTTTGCAGCTGCCTTCCGACATAGAGGAAGTCAAAGTCTTTCAGTGTTTCTAGGGTGCATATTTGTGCCAGATGTGAAATGCCTTGATGTATTCTTTTGCTAAGAGTTAATCTCACAGTATATTAGGTAAGAAGGAAATCCCAGAAAATGTGAACTCTTCTGTCTGGAAGCTACCAATTTAGTAAAAGGTTACAGACCGATGACTTGAGAAAAAACACGACGCTAAACGTTGGAATGTTATGAAATGAGTGTCACAAAAAGTTCAAAGATGACACAGTGAGACACCAGGAGGAGGAAGTCGCAAGTATTGTGAAGAGAATGACATTAGGCCTAGAAAATGAAAAGCCAGTGGGTTGATGCTGGCCACATGGGCTTAGGAAAAACAGCCTGGAACTTTTACAAATGCAGGAAGATGGAGCATGCTCGATTTGACGGACGGGTGTGTGGTGTGTGTGTGTGTGTGTGTGTGTGTGTGTGTGTGTGTGTGTGTGTATGCATGCACACAAGCCGGTGTGTGTAGTGAAGCACAAGGTATTTTGTACTCCGGAAGAAACTAATGCCCTTGTTTTTTGGTAGAGTCCTATACTTCGAAGACCAGGCCAAACTCTTGGCAGCCTTCCCTTATTGTCCCTGGTGCTGGGATTCCAGGTGTGCCAGTTAATGCCCACTTCATGCCCTCATCTTGCCTGTTCAGTACAGATTTACCCCCTTAGTTTATGTATAAAAATCATCTTATCACTCGGAAAGGCACATAGTGAAATTCATTCAATTTGTAAGGGAAACCAAATTGGATTTTTTTTTTAAATATATATTTATTTATTTATTTATCATGTATACAATATTCTGTCTGTGTGTCTGCCTGCAGGCCAGAAGAGGGCATCAGATCTTATTTCAGATGGTTGTGAGCCACCATGTGGTTGCTGGGAATTGAACTCAGGACCTTTGGAAGAGCAGGCAATGCTCTTAACCGCTGAGCCATCTCTCCAGCCCCAAATTGGATTTTTTTAACAGTAACTTTTCTAAGCACGCTTGGTGAAATGTATGTGGCTTTCTCTAAAAGAACATCAACTGGAACTTTTCCTAGTCTCAGTTGTCTTCTCTGTCAACTAAGGCGATTTAAAAACAAAGCGTTTTGTTTGTTTGTTTGTTTTTTTTAAAAAGAGGGTGGTGAGAAGACCCTGCAGGTAAAGGTGCTTGATGAAAGTCTGACAGCCTTACTTTGAGTTCAGGGACCCACATGGTAGAAAGAGGACCTGTTCCACAAAGCTGTCCAGATCTCCATGTGCCCCACACAATTAACTAAGTCCAATTAAAAATGTCTAAATTTAATAAGGAATAAGACCTACTCTAAACCCTATGAAATGTGAAACTACTACTAAATGTATATTCATGAGATGTGAAGGTAGTCCTAAGTGTATTTATCTAGACTCTCCTTTGTTTGGAGTGCCTTGATAGTTATGTAACTATTTAAATTAATACTATTTCCCTGATAGTGCTGTGTGGTAACAAATGTGTAATTTGGGAACTGTTAGCTAGACATGAATTTGCTATTTGGCACTTTATTCTAGAAACCAAACTATATTGTAGCCATCCAGCAAGAAGCTTTCAGTATTGTATCACAACAAACAGGAGGATCGTGTTTGTCTTGCCAAGCTGTTTTTGGGGAGATGACCAACTCAGATTATTTGCTGACTCACGACTAGCTGCTGAGTTATGTGACTGGTCTTATTTTCTAATGACTAAGCAGTAGTCTAGGAATACAGTCAGTATGGAAATTGCTTAGCAAAACATAAAATAAGCCATTATCTTATATGAGAAGATCAGACATTTACTTACTGTCAAATGAAGACCCAGTCCCACAAACAGGACATCATTTGGCCCAGCAGAGTGACTTGATACTGTTTTGTAAGAGGATGGTATGGCTTTCTTATGTCATTGATACTTGGCTCTTGCTAACCAAGTACAAAAGTAAGAAAAATTGGGCTGGGGATGTATCGTTGTGGTAATGTGTTTTCCTAACATACATAAGGTATTTGGTTTGATTTCCGGTATTACAAAAAGGAAAAAATAGATTTTATAGATTGAACTGTTGTTTCACCATGTAACTTTTAAGTAGAATATTGTTAACTTGCTATGAAAATAGTTAATGAAACTGCAATAGCATCTAATGTTTATTACTATATTAATAGTTATTCTAGTTATTAAAAGTTTTATGGTTTTTGTTCTTTCCTTTGTTCTAGAGAGAAGAGACTGAAATCCAAATAGGCACTCATTTATTCACGTGAATCCATTTTAGCAGAATCAAAAACAAACTACTTCTCAAAGGGGCAGATATTTGTAACTTCCCATACTGGAACCCTGTGTACCAACCTCCTTATACACACTTATCTTTCCCCATTTGGTGCAATGAAAAAAACCCCTCTGCTCTGTCCAGAGGTTGTGGGAACACTGTGATGGGTGTTTGTGAAAATGCCCCAAAGTTACAATTCCTTAACTAAGGAATTGTCTTTCTGAAGAGGACATTTTTGCAAACAGATGCCGATTGTTCTCCCTGGTATTTTTAGAGCTAGGAAGTGGTACCTCCTTAGGCTAAATCCATTTGCCAGGATTGAGACCAAACTGGATTATTAATTATAGGGAAGGCAGGTACCTATTTTAAGACTAAAGTTGAGACACTAAGAACTTGACATCTTAGGTTTCTAGCTTTTGTCCTGTTTATAATTTCTGTTACCTGGTTATTTAACGTGGGTATTTAATGTGGCTGTAATTAACAGGAGGTAGGGCTGTTACTTGATTTTGTATCCATTCTGAACCCTGCTTTAGCATCTGTAGTGGGGCAGAGTTGGAATGGGATATGTAGTCTACTCTTATGACCTTTATTTAGCACTCACTGTACAGAACCCTGTTCTCAGGATATAGTATCTCCATTTAGATATTTTGCTGTTGCCTTTTTATGTAGGAAACAGGGTAGTTTGTTAAAGTTTACAAGGGTATTGAGGGAGGGGGAGCTGAAATATACAACCAGCACCTGACTTTAGAGTTTAAGTAATCTAGGCCATGCTGTATATGTCTTTGGGGATGAAGCGAGGAGGCAGCAGCTGGATATGTGTTATTAATTTGAATGATCGTCATATAGTTGATCTTCAGTATGCTAAAGTGGTTATGGGAAGCTAAGAATTTTTGTTTTTGAAACTGGGGCTCTCACTGGCTGGTTCTAAACTTTAGTACTCTGCTCAGTCTTCTGAATGCTGAGATTACAGGCCTGAACCACTGTGTCCCACTCAGAATGCCAATGATTTTAGCCAGAAAATCCATGAATAAAATGGGAATGGAATTACAGTAATTTGAAAGCTACTTCTACCGATCTTTAGACCTGACTGCCAGCTAAGTTTCTGTTTCTGTTACAAGCCACCAGTTTGTACAGTCACTGCGTAAACTCTGCTGGTAGCTAGAGAGCAGTTAAGTATAAACAAAGTGGGCCTGGAGAGATGGCTCAGCAGTTAAGAACACTGCCTACTCTTCCAAAGGTCCTTAGTTCAATTCCCAACAGCCACATAGTGTCTCACAATCATTTGTAATGAGATCTGTTGCCCTCTTCTGGCTTGCAGAATACTGTATACATAATAAATAAATAAATCTTAAAAAAAAAAGTATAAACAAAGGAGTGTGGCTATGTTTCAAAGAAACTATCACCACTAAAATATTTGATGTTTTCTTAATGTTTTAAAAGAATAATTTTATCTTTAGCATGTGGGCAGTTAAATTAGAGGTGTGCTAGATTTAGCCAGCTGACTCTGGTTTGCTGACCCTTGTGTTTTTGGTTTGGGTTTTATTTTATTCTGTGTGCATAAATTTTTTGCCTGCATGTAGTCTGTGCCCTCGTTTTGCTTCTGGTGCAGGTGTAGGCCGTAGAGGGCATCATGTACCCTGAAACTGGAGTTAGAGATGTTTGTAAGTCCATATATGGGTGCTGGGAATCAAACCCAGGTGCCCTGCGGGAGTGGCCAGTGCTCTTAACTGCTGAGTCAGAACAAACCAACAGTGAAATCCCACACTTCAAAGGAGCCAAACAGGCTTCTTAGATAATCGTTTATGACCTGTAACTAGGGATTTATATGAACCCACCATGTCCAATTTTTAAAAACATTCCTTTCTAGGGACATTGTATCATTGTATCATAGGCTCCTGAAAGAAAAGTGTTTTTCTCTTTTAAGCTTACAGATAAATTGCATAATTAATTTTTTTTAAGATGGAGATCCTAAGATGTAATTACTTAACCAGAATCTTCTGTTGCAAATGAAAGTTAGGAATTCTAGGATAAGGGTGCTTTTTGGGAGAAGAAATTGAAGATAATACAATACCTAAGTTGTTTATGAACTTCACTGTATTTTTATCCTGGTCCCTCACTACTTCAGATAATAGCAGATAAACTTAAACAACCAAGTTTAATATTTGGAACTATGCAAAAATACTGCCAGAAGGGCCTTACTTATGTGCGTATGACTTAATATTGTACTGGTTTAGCTTGGAGTGTTGCAGTAGACAAAATCATAAACAATTTAATCCATACTCTTAACTGAGCTCTCATTTCAGTCATAAGTGTAATTTCAGCACAGAAAAGTGTCAAATGATGTGTTTCTGCAGTGGGACAGTAAGGTGCTGTGACAACTGAAGAGCCAGGAGAGTCTGTTAAATCAACTAAAACAATTAGCATGTGTAGGAAATACTTTTAAGTGCAAAAAATAATCGCTAGAGGCTAGAAGAAGGGACTAGCTGCAGACCAGTTTGTGAGAATTTTAGGAGGCAGAGCCAGTTTGTGGTGATGATGATACAACTTCATAAACTTACAAGTAGTCATAGGATAATTACCTGTGAATAAGCTTATCACATAATGAGGTATTTCTTAATAAAGTGTTTGGGGTTTTGTTTTCTTTTGGTAGTCTGGAGAGATGTTAAATATGGAAACCAAGCTACTCAGATGCTAGCAGATACTCTACCTCTGAGCCACACTATTGGCCCAATAGAAATTTAGGATCAACAGTCCTCCACCCCCAATACTGGGAATCAAACCTGGGCCTCATGTACTAAGCAAAATGCTCTTTTACAGAGCTACATCTTGGACATTT